GAGTGCACACTGATAAGAAGTTCTATAGTAGGACCAAACAGCTGTTAAGTGTTCTTTGGTCTTCGACCGTATCACTAATAAGGTCAACCCCTGAAGAATACAATCTAAAAATAGAATCAATTCACGAAATGTCCCTTCATGCATACAACAAATCTTGTATCTAAGATAAATGGAAATTATTTAATGAGGCGGGATCGTGGATGCTCACTGCTGAGGAGTCCCATGCTAGGACGAAACGGTCGTCCAGTGCTTCCAGGTTTTCAATGGTGGTCTAGCTTCAACTGACTCATGATTTCAACCTGTGGAATTTCCTAAAATTCTCCACAAAACTCATTATAGTATATGTAATTGTAATAAGTAAATGTACCAATCGATAATAAGCTGACATGTATGTCAGTAAATCAAAGAATATTAAAATCTGAACAACATCGGAAATAAGTCGACACCTAAAAAAATGGATTGACCAAAATGGTAGATTGTATGATAAAATATGTATATGATTGATCAATTTAACTATAGAATTGGTAAAGAAGCTATAAGAATGATCTGGATAGAAACAAACAAACAAGGGGTGTAAAGAACCTGTAAAATTAGTTATTCATTCATATCTGACCAAAGAATAAACAAAAGTATTACAAATTTCTTTTAATTACAGAAACAACGGTCATTAGCATTATTTCCTATAGCTTATACTATGTGTAAGAAGTAAGATGGAAACACATTCAGAAAGGTTGATGGTATACATTAAACTAATCTGATTAATTCATTTATGCACAAGTCATCCTGACTTATTTTAAATGAAGACATAAATTAGGGTGAACTTATCCGCAACGCAACCATGTAAACTTAATGTATCGCCCAGGGTCATCTGTTCGTTCAAGTAACCACAGATTTTGTCATTTCATAATGTATTTTTAATTAAATAGCTAGATTATGTAGTTAATTTTGCTCTGCTCTTGATTTTTATTCTCCACGTCCGACTGCGTTACACTGTACGTCCATTGCACGGTGGGATGATATCTCAAGTCTTAGTGAGTTTATTCACATAGTTAATTGTTTCCAGGTAGACTGTCAGTGCATGATTTTACTGAAGAAAGGTTTGTTGTACAGTAAACTATGATTTTATGAACAACTGCCTGTTGTTTTTAGTCGGAAAGCAATATATATATCCTTTGTCTTCTGTTCGGTAAGTTCAACTGGCCTATATTTCGTGTTTTGGTTTTATCGGCTTAATTATGTCCATTTAACTACTTTGAGCAACATGTCTGTGCAAATGGAACAATAATTATGACACTTGCTTGGTTTAGTATTCTTGCTTGTCACATTGTTCAGTTTGGTTGAAAGAATTATGGTATTCTTAAGTAAAGTGCTTGAAGCCTGTAACGAAACAGATCAGTTTAGTAAGTAGAGTTGCCTGTTTCTAATGAATATACTGATTAAAATCAGTCTGATTAAAAATAGGAAAAAAGTGCTTTTGGTACTGTTGCTGTCATACATTATGAGATAGCGATAAGTATGTTTGGTGTTTATTTCTAGATTGTACATCTATCACTGACCGTATTTCATGATCACTGTCATTAAACAATTTCCCCAGCAATAACATCGGTAGCAGGATAGCTAAGCGTGTGAGCTTTTATTTGCCCGCAGAAGAGCAGTATACAGTCTTAGAAGATGAGTGTTCTGTATCTCAATTAAATGCAGTTGGCTGTGGACAAATGTTAAGAATCTTTTTGACAACTGGGACTTTTAGTTCATCAAACATTAAATCTGCTTGTATGTCTCCCTGTTAAACTAGATGCAGATACATGGTAATACTTAAATGAGAGCAAAATAATAAAAGCATTGAGATACTGTATTAAGTCCATGTTATGCTTTGCAAAATAAATAGCTGACCTGACCTAATATTCATGAACTAAAGGTAAATCAAAACTGCATAAATTCTTTCTAAAAAACATGTAATTTGGTTATTTATCTATTCCACATTTCTGACTAAATTCATTACTATTTTCTCATTTAGAATGCAACAGGACTGAGCCTTCACAGTTCCTAAGAACTGTTTCGCCCTTACAACTATGGCCCTATGAAATTGTTTACGGGAGACATAACTAACAGCAGATTATAAAAATGATGCTGGATGTCCATTTTAGTCTCACAACCACTTCCAGTACTTTTTGAGTTACTTCTTTTACCCTTTCGTTTGGAAAAAACAACAAAAACTGCAGCTTAACATTACCAATGCAACTTTTAAACGGGAACTTGGTATAAACCTTTGTTTGATATTCGATTCTTAATGAAAGTTGTTGAATAAATTTTTGAATCTAATGATACTTTGTTTTATCTAGTTAATCGTTGCAAGAAACTTGTGATAAGCGAGCCTCTCAGCACCTATTTACAAAAATAAAAATACTTCACGTTGATTGGATGACTTATTCAGTACAGTAAACCGAAGAACATTGTACCTATTTACATTCGATAATTTTGTTGTTTGATTATATTTTCCTTGAAAAAGCTTGGACCAGATTGCCAGGCAAAACGTTGAATTTACTTAAAATTTATTCGCTGAGATTTTACAAATATATTCTTCTTTTTAATGTCTCAAATGAACTCGGCGCCCAAATATTGTGAAACTATTCGTTTAAATTTAGACGAAAATTCTTACTAATTCATGTGTTCAGGCTTCCGTGTCTAGAAGCAGGGGATCACCAAAACCTCCAGGCAGGAACCTACGTATATTAACAATCAAAGAGGAAACAGAAATTGGTAAATCATAGTACGATACTGTCCTTAAGAATAGATCCAGTTGCCTCTCAAAAGACACCGGGGAAGTCGCTTGGACTAGCTAGGCGGTCAGCGAATTCCAGCATTTGACAACTCCTAAGGAGTAGAAGTTGTGTCTACAAAACATTCCCCTATGTTGTGTCTCCAGTTTCTGGGTGTTACCCCTTAGGTTAGTGTTGGAACTAAGCTTAAGTAGATGTTTGAGAGGATGTCCAGAAGTGTTAAGGATACTGTGAGCCACTAGGTCACCTCTAAGACGTCTATACTCTAATGGGTAGAAGTTAAGTGATTGGAGGCGCTCTTCATAAGGTGATTTGGTACATATCTTCGTCATTTTCTTGGGAAACCTACAGACTTGGGTCCTTTCACAAATTATTCTAGCCACCATGAGTTACCACGGCAGCTGATGGGTGGACAGGCCTCACACATCTTAACCGTCCCTGTGTCTAATCTCATAGCTTCTTATTCAAATGTCATATGATAAGCAAGTAATACCTCTACCGACACTAATGGAACACGAGTAACTCAAAGGCACCCTGTATGGTACCTTACATTGGTCTACACACTCACTTAGCTCTTTAGTGAGAATGTTACTACAATCGTGCTGAAAATCCCATGAACACCCCTATCTCCATCAAAACAAATAAGTCTATATTTGCTGCATATAGCAATTTATTTCTTAAAAGTAAGATATAACAGTTAGGATTGGAGTGAAATGGCAATATACAGCAGATGCACGTGGTACATGTCTTCATCGATTAACTGAAATAGAAAATACGGATATTAGCTTAACAGGCTTATTTAGAAAGACTAGTGTCTACGTTGAACTTACTGCGTGAGAAAGTTATACTGAAACTACGAATAATGTAGGAATTTAGTCTCCCAGGGAGTACGAAGCACTCAAACTGGAAGACAGTTGTCCAAAAATAATTCGAATATGAAGGTGAAAATTTGCAGGTATTTTTCATCGTAAGGGTGAACATATTAAAAACCGGTTGACATCATACCGTAAAAAACACAAATTTGCGAGTGGTGAAAAATGATCTATAGAAAAGTGAGCTTACTAATAGTTAGTTACCTTTTAAATCCCTGATCATGACCCTTCGGCTTCCTTTTATGGTCAAAACAGCAAACATACACTGAACACTGATAGCAGATCTCCGGCTTTTCAATGTTAGGCTTGCTTTAACGCACTACGTAACGAGTACAACCCCTTTATTACTGCTATATGACATATTTTTTATAACAAGCCCTGTGCAATAGATTGGTAGTATCCGTGACTTCGTCTATGGTTGTCGGAAGTCTGGGTCCTTTCGAAAACAGGGCTGATATCAACTACTGCTGGGCAATCGGTATTAGTTTGACTCGTTGGCGGGATATTGTTGTCCATAATACTGAAGAAAATTAAAAACCGGAGATTGTTTCCTTTCATTTTGCCGATAACATCATGAAAGACAGTTAGTTACAGGCGGCAGCAACAATTATTTTAGGTAAAAAAAAACGAACTTCGGCTTTGGATATCTTGAAAACAAGTCAATACAAAATCGATTACCATTTTAAAACATAAGACTAGCCAGCTTGGCTTAAGAAATACATTGACTTGAGTAGAAGCAGCAAAAAACAATGCTGATTCGAAGTAAATTTCACACCAACATATAGAACATTACACTAACTGCGGCATTTTAGCAGATTGAAACATTAAATTACATAGCTACACAAAAGAAATAGCTGAAAGAAGCACAGAACGAAGAAATCCGACAGCCATTGCTTACAAAGATGGCGGATATAATAGTTCCCGCCTCATTCTGATTGGTCGCTAAGTTGAAGGGCACATTTATGAAATTGAGTTGCGTTTAATTGCAGCCCATAAATTAATAATAAACAAGAATACAACGAATAAGATTCTTCTTCTTCTTCTTCTTACAATTACACCATAGATTTGTATTACTATATTTCAATTCATATGAATATACTTATTTCATAATTATTATTGATACAACAAAAAACATTCCTTTGATTTGAATAAAAAGAGATCGAAAAAATTTGTTCAATCAATTTTTCAAATAACTATTCTCCTATGAACCTGTCTGCCTATCACTAACCTACACAACATATTCATACATACATTCAAAGATACACAATCTATCCTATATATATATATATATATATATATATATATATATATATATATATATATATATATATATAAACACGGTTAGTATTATACATAAACTGATGGTAACTCGAGTCAATTACCTTTCACCTTTTTTTTCTAAATGCTAACGTGAATACTAACAATTCCAGTATGATTCAACGTAATATTATAAACATGTTACATATTTCTATGATTATGTATAATATCACAGATAACACTGATACTGTTATAATCCATTAAGAATCTATATATCTGCATGTATTCTCCAATATACCAATGATATCAACTATGCATCAATTCAGTTATACAAATCATATAATACTGAAAAATGTTTTATTATCATTATTATATTTATCTATATCTATATTAAATTTATTAGATGCTTATTATGTAATATCTACAAATTCAATACATATTATCAATAATCATGAAATCAATAATGAACAACAATTAGTCAATAAAATCAATATCAATGAAAATCAACTGATTCATAAACATTTTTTAATTGTCAATCATTTTAAATATGAACATACATTGATTACATATTGTACAGAAATATTTGGTGGTATTTTAAATTTTATTTCAGCTAGTTTATATTTTACTACTCAATTACATAGTTTATTATTAACACATAATACTACTAATAATTATAATAGTAATAACATTGATAATAATTTAAAAAAGAAAACATTAAAATCACGTTTCAACATTCCATTTGCATATCATGATTTCTATCCGAATGAACAAATTATAATGATACATAAATATTTTGAATTTTCTAGTCTAATTATTATTATAAGTAGTATATTTAGTTGTATCATGATGATGATCACAATGAGTTTAAGAAGTTACAAAATATTTATGATGATGAATAATTCAAAAAATAATTTCTATATATTAATCAATTCTAATGCAACTCAATGGTTTATAGATATAACAATACAAAAAATACAACAAATGAATCAATTATTTTTATTATTTTTACTATTTATAATTAATATTTATATATTATGTTCATCAAGTGGTTTTAATTGATGCCATCATAAAAATAATTTAAATAGTAATCAATTAAAACAAAACCATTCAATTGTCAATATCAAAAATGATTTAAATTTTTGTAAACATTTAAATCAGTTAATTTTATTATTTTCATCGATATTAATTATATTTGGCAGTTCAATCATTATAAGTAGTATAATAAAATGTATACAAATGAATTATTGGTTCATTAGTAATTATTTAATTGAAAAATTAAAATTAAATAATTTTTTTAATTTATTAAATGGTAGTTTAAATATATTTATTGGTTTATTGATAATGATTACAATAAAATATTATTTAATTCCAGTAGAATCAATCATAAAAAATCAATATAAATATAAAAAAATTAGAAAAAATAATTGTCCAATCTATATTATCATTATTATTATTATTATTAATGGCTTTATTATCATATGTTTTTTTATATCGATATCGATACAAATCAATATATCGATTATGTATAAATTAGATTATTTAATTATTAATATGAATCAAACCAATCAATATTTATTAAATAATGCATTACAATTATATTATTATAATTATGCGACTAATTATTTCTTTAGTTTTTTTACATTACCTATTATTAATTTATTATTATGTTGTATCATTATTGATTTATATCTTCGTCATAAATTACAATTGAATTTAAAAATTGATTTATTTAAACAATTATATATTGACTATAATTTAAATAATAATAATGATCAATTATCAAAACAAAAAAATTAAAATGTAATTATAATCATCAGTTAAATTATGATATGAATCTATCTACTGTAAGCTATTCGCATTTACCATTACATAATTCATTATTATATAATGAAAATAATACAATCAATATAAGAAAGTATAGAGATGAAGGAATTCATCAAAGATATTCAGAATTATGTCCACAATTGAATGAAATGAAATCTATGAAATATTCACCACTGAGAAAACTTGATACCATTATTACTACTAATACTGTTGCTACTACTACTACTAATAATAATAGTAATGATATGAATGTAACTAGATCTTTTCCTTATTTAACATCGAATATTCATTCATCTAATAGTATGAATCCAATTTATCTTGAATTAGATACCATTCAAAATGAAATGAAATCATCTAATAAATTTAAAACAAATGAATTAGATATCCATTTAAATTATTTAAGTCAAATTGTTTATAAATGTTCAATGAATCCATTACAATTAAATGATCATAAATAAAATGAATTCAATCAATTTATATATCATTATTTAATAGAATCATGTGAATATATGAGTTGTGATTTAACACATCAACCACAACAACAACAGCAAACTGATATAACATTAATTCATCCTGAAATGGATAATGGAATAAATAATTTAACATCTAGTGAATTAATAAAATTATTTACTGATACAACAGGTGAGGATTTTATTACATCAGTTTGATTACCATCTATCTATCTATCTATCTATATGGTCGATGTTTCAGGGAACACTAATTCAGATAGCATAGCTACAATTTATTTTAATGACATCTAAACGTCCGGTTTTTTCTATGCTATCGATGAAAGTTATTCCCATGACAGTTTATTGATTTACGTATTATTCTTCTGTGTCTTATTGTTCATTTATGACTAATAATAATATTACTATTATTATTATTATTATTATTATTATTATTATTGGTATTATCAATGTGTGTTGGGATACTGGGCAAATATTCAGACTAGTCCATGTGATTTTCTTGAAGAAACACTCCTAGAGCTTTTAAATTAGGATTTAATCAACAAGATGGTAAAGTAATGGCAAGAACTACAGTTCAATTAGTTTATGTTCCATATATCCATCTTTGTGCACTACTTTTTGTAGAGGTATTCTCACCCCCTGAAGATAGTGAGTAATATCTAGTTGGGTGAAGTAATATGAAAGTATGTTAAGAAGAAGATTAAATAATTGACATCCTCAGAACATTTGAGAAAACGATTTATAATAGTATTAGTACTAAATGATGAATTTCTTGTTTATTTTGCATACAACATACCTGAATTCGGGCTCATTATCGTCAATAAAAATAAAAACTTTGGAGAAAAATAATTTCATGGTCTACATTGTCTATTCACGTATAGGAGTTAAATGAACAATCCGTACAATAGTATAAAGAAGGAGTGCTTCACTTAATATAACTCCGGAAGTCTGTTCAGCAATAAAGCGAATGAGTGATACATAAGCTTAATCCTCGTGGCTACATAACCGAAAGCATATAAATATTTTTATAAAAGGTATTATGTTTGATGTTTCCTTACATTAATAACTTTTGGCTGGACAACCATTGAAAACATGAGAGCGATGAATAACTAAATTTGTTACAGGTAGTATCATAATATATGTTATTATACTATGCATAATTTATAACATCGACTCCAGAAAATCATAGCTGAAGCAAGATATACTTTGAGTAATATCTTGCGTATTTCCACTGTTGTCAGTAAATCTCACAGAATGACTAACCTGCATTTTAATATAATAGTAAATCAGAAGGGGTTTTGTGGATATTATATTAGTTTTAATAGTTGAGATCATTAGTCAATTGAAGCTAGACCACCATGGAAAGTCGAGAAGCACTGAACGTCCATTTCGCCCTATTGTGGGACTCCTCCTCAGTGCGCATCCACGATTCTGCATCGCGAGATCCGAAACCTATCGGTTTCGCGCACGAAGGTTTAATCTTCTGATATTAATCAATATATGCTCACTAATGACTGGCTTCAGGAGGTATTTCCTGGAGTTCTAGTGAGAAGCAGTGACCAGTGGAGTTGGACCGGGTCTGTTGTGAGATAGTAACTCACTGAAGACAATGGTGGATAATAGTAAATATTATTATTGAATAGTTTCACTCACACATTACAAATTTTTCATTGTAACAATGATATAAGGCATATAAGGAGAACTTTAACTACGATACAGAATAGTACTTATGAATATCAATAGTTGATAAAGGATGTTTAGTTCTTCTTTGCTAAAATCCAAGATCACTGAAATCTAATATGACTGTCAAATTAATGAATCGCTTAGCATAATATTATACTTCATTTACAGAGAATAATCAACTATGTATACCAAACAGTATTTCATCAAATACTATCAAATAGTTCATGTATAACTGAACACTTTTAGATTTCTATTTAGTAGAATAAACATTTAACTTATAAAGAGTTTAAATCTTTTTATTTGATATAACCATAAGGATTGACTACTTTTATCATCCATTTCAGTATAAAGAAAATGTCAACACCCAACCATATTCGCATTACCTTTTCTAAGATTTTACGGTCTAAATGAAATGATACACTACAAGTCTAAAATCAGCTATCATGAAAACCGACCTATCATTTATTAAATACATAACATAATGTTGTATATTAGTTTTTTGGATCTTCTCAATGACGTTTAAGGCTACAATCGATAAATGGCTAGATTTAAATAAGATAATGGTTGTCATGACTCAATAACCTAACTAAAGAAAACAATAATATTTAAAGCAGAGTAAATATCAACTTGGTGATTTCATTAAATTGAATCAATGAACGTTAAATAAAGGGGGGGAGACAAGTGTCCTAGATTTCATTGTCTGACTTAAACAAAAACGTTCCCCCCCCCACCCGATTGACTTACAAATCATTAAAAAAGTACTTAAAGGTAAATTATTAAAACAGGAAATGCATGTCATTTAGAGAAAAGCAAACACGAATTAAAAAAGGTTTGTCTGTTATATTAGAAATTTTTCATAATTTCATAGGGTGTTGATAAAAGTTTGATTAGTAACATCTATTGATTGAATTAAAATTCTAATTTTCTAAGGAAAAACAAAAAACAAAACTCAATGAATATGATGATAAAGTTGGAAGTGTTAAAAGTTTTCTTACTCAAAAGATTAGTTTATTATTATGTAATGAAGATGTAAGTATCTCTTACATTCATAAGGTTAGTTACAAATTCAGAGTTATACTGGGCTTTGGCACATGTAAAATCCTATTTCTAATATGGGATAAAATTTATTAGGGATGATTTGTCTTTACTATATGCTTCTCCCCCCGCCAATGCTCTGTTGTGACCGAAGGTGGGGACAGTCAGCTCTCCTTCTAGAAATGCTCTCAGATGGCCACGTGCATACAACCACTGACAGGGAAGTTCTACTCACTACATTCTCGTGACATTATTTTTGTTTATGAAGTTGAGAGGACGAAAAGTGAATGTCCGGTGTTTTAACCGGGTTGGTGGATATGGTGGATTCACATTGGGGAGTTGGAATATCCTGATTTAAAACCAATGGTGTTCATGGGCTCCAGGATCCTACGAAAACGAATGGAGTATGAACCTATTGTTGGTCACCGGCTACTATGTGACTACATCTTCTTTTGTTGCTCCACTACCTTGTGAATTTGACCTTTAAGTCGATGGCTCCGTGTGTGGCTCCCTAAGAAAACAACCTACATCGGTTTGGGTACTCAGGCAGTATCTCAGTCATCACACAAATTGAATGATTTATGTGGCGCATATCTATTTGTAGCCTCCTTGTTCTAATGTTTATGTGTTTGAATAAATAAATAAACTCTACTATACCAATCAATTTCAAAATTCTTTCTTTTGAAAAGTACCAAACGAAATGTAATTATTGCCTTAAAACCAACTGTACAATCTTTATAATACAATTATTAATAGTATTTTTAAACCTACCAGAGAAGTACTTAGAAAATGTTTGCCATTAATAAGGACAAATGTCAAATGTATATCATCAAAATGTACTGTTTTCATTAGATTTTATAACCCTGAAGAAAATGGATAAATTGTAGCTTGATAAAGCTTTTTGCTCAACTATAAGAACTACAAACTTTGTATATTCTTCATGTAGAACTCAGTGATTTTCTGAAGGATAATCACCTATAGATCAAAAAATCAGGCAGAAGCGATTAAATATTTCAGTTTTGTGTTATTATTTATGAGTGCTTCACTTTAGTCAGAGGGCATTTAAATCTAACAAGGCAAGGGGAAGTTTCTCAGTTAATTTCACAAAGAATACACAATAATTGAGTTCATATACATTAAAATAGAACAGCTCATTAACAAGGAGAACAAATGGATATAAATGAACCTGGATAAGTACTTTACTTGTACTGGACAGTACATATTTCCTTCGAATTACGCAACTATCAAGATGATTAACTGTAAAACAATAATCATATACTCTATAAATATAGCTCAAAGCTAACGGAATGTTTAAATAAAATTAGTCTGTAACGTAAACTGAAAGGGTTTATGCTTGAAACCGATTATAAAGTTGAAAAAAGAAGAAGATACTTGTAAATAGTAAACCATGGTCACAATTGATTGATCACTGAATGGCGATCGATGTCATGCGTGTCTAGTGCTCATTAGTGCAGGTCGAATGCTATCGACCATGTTGCAATGTGGCCACCAGTCTAGGTGACTCGACATTGCGGGCGCTATATATTTAGATCAAATGGTATTTTGTTGAACTAATAACCTAATTCTTCAAAAAACTAATTATTTGAAAGTATTCATTAATATAAAACTATGTAATTCAACTGTTTAAAGAGCTTAGATCAGATCTACAAGTTAAGAATCTTTATAAAAATAATAAAATTAATTATTAAACATTTTGAACATTTGGATAGGATGATATACTTTCATCAGTAGTAAAACAATATATCTGTATTTCTGTGTGTATTCCGTATGTCAGAAGAGGTTTTTGTGGATATTATATTAATTTCAATAGTTGAGATCATGAGTCAGTTGAAGCTAGACCACCATGGAAAACCTGGAAGCACTGGACGGTCGTTTCGTCCTGTTGTGGGACTTCAATTGACTCATGATCTCAACTGTTGAAATTACTACAATCTCCACAAAACCCTTTCTGACACAAATAAATAAATAAAAGTGCAAGTTCAAGGTTGATAAAATTGTTAATGAATCGTCGATGTACATGTCAAACAAATACCTAAACTGTATTGCTAAAAAGCTCATTGAAATCAGTCAAAAATAACGACGCATGTGAAGTAAACAGGTTGAGAAAAGATAGGGTTCAGATTACTTGTCATAACGAAATTCGCCAGGTAGTCGCCAGTTGAATACCATCTTTTCGGTTGAGGCTGTTCTTGTTCGCCCATATATACATCACTTCTGCTGTCAATCTTTCTTTATGGGTGTTAAAACCTTTCTGAAGTATTTTGGACCCTTAAAAATTAAACTTGTGTCTTTTTTCTAATGCATGTAATGCTGTCGCAGACTTATTCTCAAGGTCCGTCAAATCAACCGAGGATTCGGGAACATTTTTCAAACATTGTTTGTGTTCCTTCAATCTTACATTCAATTGTCTGGATGTTTCTCCAACATAAGCTACAGTACAATCATGACAGTTGATCTCATACACAATGTTCTGTTGTTCTTTCTTTTAATAACCTGTCCTTAACTTTCACTAACGTCGATCTTGAGGTGTTACTCGTCCTAAAATACACTCTTATATCATGTTTTTTTTAGAATCCGCTTGATTTCTTCTGATGTTTCACTACGGTATGGTATGACTACGGTGTACTTCCAAACTTTTCGTATACATTCTAGTTTAGTTTTTCGTTCT